TTCTATTCTATTCTATTCTATTCTATTCTATTCTATTCTATTCTATTCTATTCTATTCTATTCTATTCTATTCTATTCCTTAGCTGCTTAGGAGTCTTCTTTGTTTTTAATCTCAACTGCTTCTCACCGACCTTTGATTTATACTCTCTGACATCCAATAAAAGATTTCCTGCCCGAGGCCTCATATGCATATTGCTCATCCTGCTTATCCCATTCCCTTCTTAACTTGGCCATCATCAAGCAGGTGAAAGACTGTTTTAACTATCTGTTCAGCAGATTATATTTTCAAATCAAAGGTGTAGTTCTTTATGCTGGAAGAGGAATATTTGAAATTGTGTTCCATAAAAAAGAAAGTGCCATTAGTTCTCAAGGAGGCCATTATTTACATAGAACTAAACTAAGTTTTACTACTTCTCTTTGATTTTCAGGTCTAAGTTGTGTGAAATCCAAAGAAGCTTATCAACCCATATTAATAATTACATTTAAATGTGTAAAAGGCAATCATATAATTTAGTATCAGCATGACATATGGGATTTCCAGCATCCAACTGTCAGTGATGTGTAGTGAAGCTGGATTTCATCAATGCCTCTCATAAGTAGAAAATTTAATTAGCTCCCCCTGTCTCCCTCCCACCGTTGTACTTGCCAGTTTCTTCTATAAACACTAAATATGAAAGCAGTTTTTATTGGAGGGGTTCTTATTAAGTAACAACATGCTATTTTCAGAAAAGAATGCTGATGCCCATTCACCCTATTTATTTATTTATCTGATTTACATAGCCACCAAACAAGTAACTCTGGGCAGCATGCAACAAAACTAAGCAGCCAATAAAAACCTGAACTCCATTATAAAACCATAAAAAGACCACAAAAACGGAGCAAGAACAAAGAAGTAGCAGACAAAAGGATGTTAATAATAATGGAATATATTAGTTCTCCTATTCTCTTGGGCTGCCAGGTCTGCTGACATAACCAGATCTTTAAGGACCTTCAGGAACTCAGACTTAGTGGGATTTATTATAGCAAAAAAGCCCCACTGCCTCAGGGCTGCCAAATGTGGCTCCCTAGCCAACAGACCCCAAAACATGTTCCTGTCATGGCCATTCTGGCTGTATTGCTTCCATGCCCAGCCCCGGGTCATCTCTTTGCTGGATCTGGTGGGATGGGTAGATGGGTTTGGGGAGAAAGAGTTTCTCAAGTATCCCAGTCCTATTCCAGGAAGGACTTTTAGTGTGAACACCAGTACCTTAAATTAGAACCAAAAGCAAACTGGTAACCAATGCAGCTCGCAAAGCAGAGATATAATGTGTGTTCTACTAGGAACACACATAACTGCTTACATTGCTCCATTCTGCATCAGCTGAAGTTTTTGGATAGTCTTCAAGGGTAGCCCAAATTAGAGTGCATTGCACTAATCCAACCAGGTGTGAGTGGCCATGAGTAGGGTCCCTCAATCTGGGAATGGGAACAAATGACGCACAAAGGGAAGTTGTGCAAATGTCCTCTTACTGCAACTATCACCTGCTCATCAAACAGGATTCCTGAATCCAAGGGGAACCCCACATTGAAAGGATGCTTTGGAACATTTCACAATCACTTTTTGAGGGAGAACTGTTCATTCTTGAAATAAATGTATCAGCCCAAAGTACATTCTTTCTTAATCTGTTTTTCTTTCCAATCTTCTCCCTTTTTCCTCTAGTGGTGCAATGCCAGCCACCCTCAGACATTCAAAATGGGACTCGCAGCAACCAGGAAACAGCAGTATTCCCCAGTGGAATGCTTGTGAAATATACATGCAATTCTGGCTATGCTCTGATTGGAGAGGCAACTATTCAATGTATAGATAATGGCATGTGGTCTTCTCCTGCCCCTAACTGTGAAGGTACATTCCATAACCATAGCATTTTGTATATTGGCCTTTCAAATGTTGAGAGATCTTTTTAAGTAAAGAAAATTAATCAGAAGATTGAAGCACAAAATCTAACCATAAACACTGAGACCATTTGTTTTTCTTTATTTCTTCTTTTTAAATCAGGAGGTAACTGTGACATCCCCATGAGGCTAGACTTTGCAGAACTCACTGATGAATATCAGAAAATGAATTCCTTTCCTGTTGGGTCATTGGTACAATACAAATGCAACCCAGGTTATGTTAAGCATCCAAGAATGAATGCCTCTTCTATATGTATCCGGAATCAGGTTTGGTCAGAAGTTCAAGAATTTTGTAAAAGTGAGTGTTTTTTCTTCTTCTTAAAAATAGGAGGAAATGTTCTCCATTTTTTGAATGTGTTGGGAATGTATTCATATGATATATAGTTATGAATTTCAGTTTTGAATGTTTTAGCATAAGAAAGATACAAGTTCTTTCTTTTTTGCTAGAAAAATCATGTGGACATCCAGGAGAACCAGAAAATGGTAGGCTGATTGTATCAGGAGATTTTCTGTTTGGTTCTACATTAAATTATACTTGTGAGGAAGGGTAAGTATAGACCAAACTTGTATGATTTTCATTTATTTTGCAATAAGACTGTTTTTTTCAGAGGAATGGATTTTGAGCTAGGATAAGTTGCCAAGAAGAATTTTATTATGGTCAACTGAGTAGTCATATTTCCAAGTAGGTATGTGCATAAAACATTCTTTGGTGCTTTTTTATATGTTTCTGCATGCACATGCATACTGCTACATTTAAAGAATATTCTTCCACTAGAAAAGGATCACATCCTTTTGGGAGCTAAGAATTCAGGTCAAATCTTCAGGATGTATGTGCCAGTGCAATGTAATGCAACAGAACAGAACAGAAGACTTTATTGGCCAAGTGTGATTGGACACACAAGGAATTTGTTTGCAGTGCATAAGCTCTCAGTGTACATACAACAACAAAGTACAGTATATAATCATAAGCTATCAATGGCGAAGATAGTGGAAAAGATGAGAAGGATAATAGTAATACAGCCCTACTACTTGAGTAAATATCCTTAGACATAAGACAATACTGTGGTAATTAAGTGTTCAGCAGAGTGATGGCATGAGGGGAAAAATTGTGTGTCGTTGTTTTGGCATGCAATGGCCCTGTAGTAATGTCCTGAGAGGAGGAGTTGAAACAGTTGTCCAGGATATGAGAGATCTGTAGATATTTTCTCAGCCCTCTTTCTGACCTGTGCAGTATACAGGTCCTCAGTGAAGACAGGTTGGTTGCAAATTTTTTTTTCTGCAGTCCTAACTATCCAATGAAATCTGTACCTGTCCTATTTGGTTGCTAAACCAGACAGTTATAGAAGTACAAATGACAGATTCCATAATTCCTCTGTAGAACTGTTTCAGTGGTTCCTGGGGCAGTTTGAATTTTCTGAGTTGACACAGGAAGAACATTCTTTGTTGTGCCTTTTTAATGATGGTTCTAGTGTTAGGTGTCCATTTCAGATCCTGGGATATTACAAAACCCAGAATCTTCATCCCAGATACATGTGCACCAGTGGTGGGATTCATTTTTTTTTTATTTACCGGTCCTGTGGGTATGGCTTGGTGGACATGGCAGGGAAAGGATACTGTAAAATCCCATTCCCTCCCCATCCCATTAATTTGCTTTCCAACTCCGTTCTCTTGTGCAGGGCAACAAAAGAAGACCCAGCCTATCAGCTGGGACTCGGGAGGCAGAGAGTAGATGGGGGGCAGGGCCAGTCAGAGATGGTATTTGCCAGTTCTCGCAACTACTCAAAATTTCTGCTACCGGTTCTCCAGAACTGGTCAGAACCTGCTGAATACCACCTCTGATGTGCATGCATAAAAGGGTATTTTACTACACGTGGGCATTTACACTCATTAATGAGAATAACTACTGAAGTTCACAAAAATATATACAGCAGTCCTTTCTGAGATATATATACACTTCCCTCAATTGTTCAAATTTGGCCCATTTTATTTGCCCTGGATAATAAAAAATTGTATCTGTTTCTGCTACAATGATACTCAAGAAGCTGGTGAAATAGTTTTCATTAATAGTCATGACCACTTTAACAGTGGCTAGAATTGCATTTGCTAAGAATTGGAAAAATGAAAAAATACCTATGCAGGAGGAAATTATTAAGAAAATCATGGACTGTGCTGAAATGAGTAAATTGACATTTGAAATTAGAGAACAAGAGGATAAACAATTTTATATGATATGGGATTTATTTTATCAATGGTTTGATAAAAAGACATGATAAATAAATAGATTAGTAAGCCTTACAATAAAAGTTAATAGATTGATATAGAATACAATATAAAATATATAACCATTGGATGAATGTATAAGATTAAATCATAATGAAAATTAGAATATCTCATATAAAATGATGGAAAAATAGTTTATTCAAATGAATGTTTAATAATTGATATTACATAAGCACAAGCTAGATTGATAAGGTGAGAATTTATATAATTTGTGAGTAATGGTAAAAAAAGGATAGCACAAAAGATTGTAACCAACTGACACACTGTATGTATATAATTGAAAGAGGGTTTTGTTTTTATGTTTTGTTTGTATGTTTGTTGTAAAAAATAAAAACTTTGTTTAAAAACAAATAGTCATGACCATTAAAAGTAGAGCAAAGTGCATCGAAGTGTATTTGAATAAGGAATTTTCACAGCTTTGAAGTTGGTCCCAGCAAAAGAATACATATTGATATGTGATATTGATATTTCCTCCTTGCAATCATTGTCTCCTTTCTATACTACTGCCATTACTCCCCTGTCACTCTACTTCACCTGTACCTCTGCCCACCTATCTGCCCTCAGCTCAAGTTTATTCCTATGATAATGACTGTGGAACATTTGGTTCACATCACCTTAAGGCCTGAAATTTCAACATGACACCAGAGTCACTGACTAATTATTTCTCTTTTTACTAAATTTTATTAAAATATTTAAAAAATTCTTTAAAAAGCTAAGTCATGCTAAGGGGGTTATTTTAATACAATGCAAAGTATATATAGTGACTTCAACCATTGGGAATGGAGGCCAAACAGAGACACTGACAAGGCTTGTTCAGAATGGGTTGCTGGCGTATGATGAAGAACAAGATGCTGTCTCTTTCTTTCATATATAAAAGCTGAATGGACAGAACAAAAGCTTACAGTGAGACAAAGTTTTGGAGGAACTAGCCAAAATATGGTTTGCTTTTGCCATTGCCATTTGCTTTTGCCATTGCCATTTGCTTTTGCCATTGCCATTTGCTTTTGCCATTGCCCAAGCTCAGTAGCAAGTGGTTTGTTCAATGGAATATGGCTTGGTGCAGAACATGAACCCAGTGAAAGTGTTGAAGTTTGCACACTTTCACCCTGAGGATAATTACAGACTTTTATAGAACTTAATACAGGCAGATAGGATTGTATAATTTACTGATTCATTCCTCCAATTTATTCCTCATCCCTATTAAATGTGAGTAAGTAGCTTTTTTTTACCATGAATGATCCTTGGCTTGCAACCAGTCATTTGCAACTTTATCTGACGTTACAATGGCATGGAAGAAAGTGACTTATGACCATTTTTCACAAACGTGTTGCAGCATCCCCATAGTCATATGATCAAATTTGAGATGCTTGGCAACTGGTTTATATTTATGATGGCCACAGTGTCCTGGGGTCATGTGATCACCTTTTGCGACCTTCTGCCAAGCAAATGGGGAAGCTGGTTTCACTTAACAAGCCTGTTACTAACTTAACAACTGCAGTGATTTACTTAACAACTGTGGCAGAAAGGTCGCAAAATGGAGCAAATCTCACTTAACAACTGTCTTGCTTTGCAACATAAATTTTGGGCTCAATTGTGGTCATAAGTCAAGGACTACCTACCAGTACATTTATGTATGATATTTTAGATGGAGAGGCCTATATTGCTTACCCAAACATGATTGGATAGTTGAGAAAATAGGTAATTAGGACCCAAAGATAAAATATTGTAACAGAACTCTGCAAAATAATGGCTTGGATGGGATATGCTTTCCTGTAATAATTCTTCAACATACACATATATTGTTTGTTCTTTGTAAGTAATAGATTTTCACTATTTATATGCAGGGTTGTTAGCACATGGTCATCTAGAAGTTGTTGAATTGTAATTGTTCTATTTTTTTCCACTGGCATTTCTGAGAATCGGTAATAGGAAATTGAACCCAGGAAGAATAAGTGGCCTTTCCGTAATAGTTTCTGTTTTAATGCAGGTACAAACTGATAGGGCAGTCTTCCAGACAATGTGCCTTAAATGGAAAAAGAGTAAAATGGAGTGGCAGCCTTCCTGAATGTCACCGTAAGTAGAGCATACAGTCATATTTCTTTAGCTAAATTATGATTCCATTGTGACTTCTTTTCAAAATCATGTTTCATATCATGTACTTTTTGTACTTGCTGAGACTTTGGAAAAAGTGCAGAGAAGAGCAACTTAGATGACTAAAGGCCTGGAGACGAAAACATATGACAATTTGGGTATGGCTAGTGTAGAGAAAAGGACTGGGGTGACATGATAGCAATATTCCAGCATATGAGGGGTTTCCACAGAGAGGAGGGGGTCATCTTATTTTCCAAAGCACCAGAAGGCAGGACAAGAAACAATAGATGGAAAATAATCAAGGAGAGAAGCAACTTCGAATTAAGGAGAAACTTCCTAACAGTGAGCACAATTGACCAGTGAAACAGTTTGCCTTCAGAAGTTGTAGATGCTTCATCACGGGAGGTTTTTAAGAAGAGACTGAACAGCCATTTCTCTGAAAGGGGTTGAGGTTGGACTGGAAGACCTCCAAAGTCTCTTTTACCTCTATGCTGAATCGAGTTGAATTTGGAGAGTTAACATGCTATTAATCTGGAGAATGCAAAGTTCAGGATAAAAGCTTTAGTTGGGTCTATGAAGTTTGTTGGTGATACCACTATCAAAAATGTGGTCCAACCTACCATTAATGTCCCTTTTGCAGACTCCATTCTAATAGATGAGTCTGATATTAGAGCACAGCAGTACAAACACAATGTAATTTTAGGCACTATACGCTCTTGGTATCATAAAATAACCTTGATTGTGTTATATATATTTTGAGTATAGAAGTTTTAAAATCTATCAATAAATCAGTTATGTATCTACAAATTCAGAGATTGTATTTTTTGATTTAAAGAACTTGTGCACAAAATAATTATTAACTAACTACTAATTGTTCTATCCCATTAGGAATTGATTACACAGCATTAATAAAAAAATTATTATTAACTAAAAATGTTGTGGCAGCTTCATTTTATCATTTTCAATGTGGCATAAGCTGTCATGAACACAACATTATTGCAACAAAATTAATTAATCTTGCAAATTCTAAAGAATTAAACATATTTTGCAATTATATCCAAAAGTCACATTATTTGCCTGAATCCATTTTTTGTTGTATCTTTGTGGTTTGCCCTAGAATCTGGGAAAGGAGAGATATGACTTAAAATAAAACATGTGGATTTTTGATTGATGTATGTATGTATTAATCAAATCTTACCTTAATCGAATACTTTTACATACTGCAATTAGTAGTGGTGCAATGGTTACAATGCTGTATTGCAGGATAATTCTGTTCACTGCCAGGAGTTTGATCCTCACTGACTCAAGGTTGACTCAGTCTTCCATCCTTCCAAAGTCGGTAAAATGGGGACCCAGATTGTTGGAGGCAATGTGCTGATTCTGTAAACCACTTAGAGAGTGCTGTAAAGCACCATGAAGCAGTATATATGTCTAAGTGCTATTGCTAGGAGCCACAGGGAGATCAATTGTCTACAGAAAAATCAGAACATTTCAGAGCCTTTAGCATAGTTTTGAGGAGCCTATGGATCTCTATATTGTATGTTGTTCAAAAACAGCTTCCATTACCTAAGGCAATTCCCAAGAGTAGCTGGGCCTGATAGGAATCTGGGAGTCCAGCAGAATCTGTAATGTTACAACTGTATCACTTCCCACCTCTCTTTTTTATGCTCATTTAGTGTCATACTCTCAAAGGAAATCAATAGGTCTTTCCGGTGGCAAAGGTTGATCTAAAATGCTATAGGAGTAGATGCCCCTGGCATAGCAACAGATGCCTTGCTCACATAGGGACCATTTTAATATTGTCCCATTGCTGCCAGAGGGGTGAATTTGAGGGCTGCAGTAGGGAGACCAGGAGGGAAAAATCTGAGAGCTGATCAAACTGAGATCCAGCTATAGTGCAGATAGCAATAGCTATAGTACTTAAACTTATTTATCACTTTACAGTGCCTTACGGCCCTCTCTAAGTGGTTTAAAGCAGGGGTCCCCAACCACCGGGCCCCAGACCGGTACCGGTCCATGGATCATTTTGTACCGGGCCACAAAGAATGAAAGTAGGGCCTATTTTGCTTGGGCGCCACCATCTTGTTTCGACGGCGCTTGAGAAAGTGCTTCCGGGTGAGCTTGTCGGTCGTTGGTTGGAAAGCAGCGTTTGGGTGCTGAAGGAATCCTCGTGCCTTAGTTTCGTCAAAGGGCGGGGCGGCTTCGAACGAAGTCATCCCGATGGCGGTGGAGTCTCGCGTTACTCAGGAGGAGATTAAGAAAGAGCCTGAAAAGCCCATCGACCGCGAGAAGGTACAAAGGAGGAGTTGAAGGTGGCAGGGAGAAGTGGGGGACGGATGGCTGGCCGGTCGCTCGGCTCACCTTGCCTTGGTCATGCGTGCTGATGCTGGTACCGGTCCGTGGATCATTTTGTACCGGGCCGCAAAGAATGAATAATCGTGAAACTGGTCCCTGGTACAAAAAAGGTTGGGGACCACTGGTTTAAAGAGTCAGCATATATTGCCCCCAGCAATCTGGGTTTTATCAACCTCAGGAGGATGGAAGGCTGAATCAACTTTCAGCTGGTGAGAATCAAACTGCTGGCAGTCAGCAGAATTAGCCTGTGATGCTGCATTCTAACCACTGCACCACCACTGAAGATGTGGCCTTCAGTGACAAACTGAAAATATCAAACTTCAGTGAAACCCAAATCTTCATTTCCTTCAGCCAGTAATTTCTCCTATTTGCATTTCAACATCCCAACATGAGTTAAAGTTCTTTTCAAATATCCCAAAAAGAGAAAAAGCACATATGCCACAACACTCTTGTTAAATGACATCACTCAATCAAACATGCCTGAAGCCCAGAGGTCATGACGAAAAAACTTTATTTAGAATGAATGATGCTATGGGGTTTGGTAAGGAAACCTCTCCAAGAAAACCACCAACCTCTGAGAACACCAAAGACCCCACAATTGAACCTTGAGTTACAAATTTTATCGTCTATCATAACCTTGATTTGTTTTCAGTTTTGGTAACTTTCAGTATTTAATTTCAACAATGATCCCCCCCCCCCCCCAGTTGATTCTCTCCAAATAACACTTTCTTCTCATTTGGGGTATTTTTTCTAATTCAAGTTTACCAACTAACAAAGTTTTCAATTGAATTAAAATGGCCTGACTTCTTATTTTTTTTATTTAATGCTTTTATTATATGTCCTTGAAACAATATCAAAGAAACAATGTGAGAAATTATATGCCAGAGATAGTTATACACTGTTTTTAAAAGGAGAGTACTAAGACCTTGAATATGCAATTGCTTGTAAAAGCCTTAAGACAAGGGGAAATATTAACTCCATGGTAATTCAATTTACAGCTGCAACTGCCACAACAGATAATGATGCTCGATATAACATATGTACTTTGTCTTTGACTTGTTTTTTCGCAGCACATATTACATTAATGAATGTTATAAATGTTCCAGGCTTTATATCTACACTCGAATAAGGAAAATGAAATTAATTTATCTTTCTTACGCAACCTCCACTTCTTTCTAGCTATCTTGTGCTCATCACCGCCAAATATTCCCCACAGCAAGAATACTGGAAAATCTTTGAAATATTTCCTCTATGGGACAACTGTAACATATACCTGTGACAAAGGCTACCCTGTTATTGGAAATGCCTCTATTTACTGTACTTCTAAGGATGGGATAACCGGAGAATGGAGTGGCCGTGTGTATTGTGGAGGTGAGGTTTCCTGCTCCAATCTTGGGTTCTTGGGTTCCTTCTCAAGCAAGGACTATCAGCTGCTAATTGGAAACATTTAAAATGATTCCTTCAAATATTTCCTTGAGGACCTCACACTAACAAACTGGATATCTCTATTCCTCAGTTACCCAAGCTGAACTAATCAGGCCTGACACTACTACAGAGTGATTCCGGTTTTTTCTCCCTATCTGCTTCTGATATGTGTTTCATTTTTCAGAGACACAATGTCCATCTCCTCAGATTAAGAATGGAAGGATTGTGGCTGGAGTTTCCAGCACTTACAAATATAACCAGAAAGTTAGTTTTGAGTGCTTTGGGGGCCACAAGATGATTGGTTCTAGAGAGATCCATTGCCAAGTGGATGGTATGTGGGACCCGCCCATTCCTGTCTGTGAATTTGGTAAGGATGAATCTGGATTTTCCATTGTTTGAACAATGTTAAACTTCTGTTATGAATTTTATGCACTTTTCTTCATTCTCAGTCAGTGGAAAATATGGTGCTTACAGTTGAGCCTAAAGAATAACTAGTATCTTACTTTTCCCCCGATGTATCATCCTAGAGTATATTTTTAATTTTATTTTCTTCCCAATTTTCTCTCTTCTTCTTTTAGTGAGGCAATGCCCACCACCCCCAGACATTCAAAATGGGACTCGCAGTAACCAGGAAACAAGAGTATTTTCCAGTGGAATGCTTGTGAAATATGCATGTGATCCTGGCTATGATCTGATTGGAGAGGCAACAATTCATTGCACAAATGCTAGCAGATGGTCTTCTCCTGCCCCTAATTGTGAAGGTACCTTTTGTGACAACATTTTTTTTCTGTAAGTTCTTGAAGGAGTGAGATCCAGAAACAGAGGATCACTCTTCACATGGGTTTCCACCTTTTTTTACTGAATGAGGTGTTTTGAAAGAAATCCTTAACTTGATTCAAAAAGTGCTGTGGTGTCAAAATTAGGAAAATTTAGGTAGAGTCCAACATTTTATAAGTGGTGAAGCTTCATTGAAGGGGTCTTAAAAAGGAGTAGCTGTTGACAAAAAGTCCTTTCTTTTGGCCATTCCTTTTGGGGGGATCATGCTGCTGCTCTTCTCATCTCTAGTGTTCCCCTAGGAATAGTTGCTGAGAGCTATGAATAGTTTGGGAATGTTTTATAGCGACTGATGTGATATTAGTGAGAATTTAGCTTTTGAAAACCACACATTTAGGTTTTTAAAAAAATTGAAACAAAATAAAAACACATGATGTACTCAGTTAATAGTAAGCCCTGAATTCTTCAGGACAAAGCTAACCAACCTTGCAGACTGTGCAAAATTCCTGGTTGGTTTTACTCATTCTCATGTCTATATTCAGAATAAATGCTCATTGCACCAGAATTTTATGTTCAGACCCAATGCAAATTATGATAAAGAAATTCTGGATTAATAAATCAAGGAGAATCATGATTTTGAGTTCTATATTCTTGATGAAAGATATATGTCTCATTTAGAATATGTTCCATATCAGTATAAAACTAAATAGGCCATGCCATCAATTATTGGTATTTTTAAACCATGAAGTGTAATAGAAAGATTTTGTTTCCCCCTTTCTAAAGGGTTTAGGTTTTTAAAATATGTGCACCTTGTTAACTATTTTTGGTAGGGAAGAACCTAAAGACTACTCCTCTTTTTATCTTTGGTTGACCGTTCTCTGATTAATAGTGCCCTGTAATTAAAATTAAGAGTTGTAGAAAGTTATTGTGGATAATCAGGTAGAACCAGGAATATTGCAAGTTTCCCTATCTATCAAATTGAACATGGCAATAGTATATTCAATGATAACACTAATAATATTAATAACAGTTGACAACTGTTAAATTTGTTTGTTTGATTTGGAAGCATCTGTGCCCTTTCAATTCAGTTAGATTGGACAGAAATTGTAGATTAATATAAAAAAAATAAGTTGTTTCTTCTGAGTTCAATTGTGAAATATACTGGTATATGTCGTCCTGGTTATGTTAGGAATTCTGAACTGAAAACCATATTGCCATGCGTTAGAATCAGATTTGGTCAGAAAGTTAATTATTCTGTCAAAGTGAGTCTTCCTTTACCTTGATCAAACTATAGGATAGGATGGAATGGCCTTTCAATGGGGTATGAAAATGTGCAACTTAACTCTTAGGAGTGTGTTTGTCAGTTGTTAAATACAGATAGAAACCTTGAATCAGTTTTATACATTTTGTGTTACCCAAAACATAACATGGAAAAGTAGAATCTCTCTGTTTTCCACTAGGAAAATCATGTGGACATCCAGGAGAACTGGAGGGTGGCAGATTGCTTGTAACAAGAGATTTTCGCTTTGGTTCCACAGTAAATTATCAGTGTGAGGAAGGGTAAGTTTCAAGGAATCCAACACAATTTCCAGTAGTGCGATTCTTACTGTTTCTTTCTTTCTCCTTTGAACAGTATAACCTGAAATTGTCTGGTGAGGACTTTTTTTTTTTGGGGGGGGGGGGGAGGGGGTTGTAGGAAATCTCACTTTCCTCACCAGTCATTGGGCAAAGCCTGTACCTCAATGGGAAAGAGGCACACACATACATGCCAAGAAATTTTTAATGTTTTATTGAAAGATTGCAAGCCTTCATTGTCATTCCCCAGATGCCACTAAGGCTTGTCAGCAAATAGCCCTCCACCAAGAACCAACAAATTAGAGTCCACAAAGTCCAGGCATGAAATCTTACCATGAAATACAAAGTCTGAAGTCAAGGCATAAGTCCACAAATCCACACACAAAGTCCAAAATCCAGGCCCAAGTCTCAAGTCCAGGCTTGGTCTCCAAGGTCCAAGGCCAAAATACTGGCATGAAATCCAAGGTCCAAACATGAGGTCAGAAACAAGGCATAGGTCCAGAATCAGAAAACATGAAATCAGAGCACAGTCATGACAGGGAAGTGAATGGTTGGTTACAACACTGCTTTGCTCCATGTATCAGTCTGAGTGATCACCAGCTGGTGCAACATATTAGGAAGGGTAAGGCTGCTTCCTCATGAGTAGGCTCACTGATTTCCATATGCCTTCCTTTGCTACTACAGTACATGCCCTGGGATCTGAAGGGGAAGCAATTCCTCCTTGTCTTCACTGACCATGTGCAGCTATACCTCTTTTTCACCCTGTACCTCTGGCTAGTCATCGACGCGTCCCAGCTGCAGCTGTATTTCTGTTCTTTCCTCTTCAACCAAGCACTCGTCCAGTCGCTAGCCCACCAGCTACGGGTGGGATTCAATTTTTTTAAGAACCGGTTCTGTGGGCATGGCTTAGTTATTGGGTGTGGCTTGGTAATGTGACTGGCTGGGTGTGGCCAACTCAACATCACTCACATCGAGGCACGCATCTCCTCGTCTGGCCTCTCGTGACTGTGGGGATGCTGCAATAGTCGTAAGTGTGAAAAATGGTTATAAATCACTTTTTTCAGTGCCACTGTAACTTTGAATGGTCACTCCACACAAGCAAAGTACCAGCAAAAGAGGGGGAAAAAAACTCCAGAGAAGTTCCAGAGACAGGAAGTCTAGGCCTGCCAAGAATGCAAAAAGGGTTAATGGAGAGGCAACACCAGAATGTTTCCTTCCTGCCTTCCTTACAGGATTAGGCCAGTAATTTCTTCTAACAACCAGTTCTCTGAACTGCTTAGAATATTAACAACCAGTTCTAGTGAATAGGTGCGAACCTGTAGAATCCAACCCCTGCCACCAGCCCTTCCAATGTTCCTGGCTTCTCCTATTTCTCATCCACTCCTGGCATGGATTCTCCTGCACCCTACCCACACTGCTCTGTGTCCTTTTCCAAAATCCTGTCCTGGCCAGGTTGGGAGGCTTCAGCCTGCTGTTGCAACTTTTGCATCTTTCTCTTTCAATCTAAGTTTGCTAAAACATAAATAATCATAAAAAATTAGGAGTAAACAGAATGAAAAGGAAGGACCACTGTCAGGTACACAGATTGTATCAATGAAAAGTTGAGTTGAACATGTTCTTCCTTCTGATATATTTTGTCTAGAAAATAAATCAGTAGAAAATTTCTCCTTCCATTGTATGATTATAAACATATAAGACTTTTTGCCAAAATAAGACTTCGCAATCATGAAAACTAATTTCTCCTGCATGTTGCTGTTTTGCTTTCTAGCAATCTGTCTCTACACATACAAATATGCTGTCTGTCTACACATATAAATACATATAATTATCAACTGACACCACATCAATAAAAAAGCATGGGATGAATGAATACTAAAATACTTTATGAGGCCAGTCATCTTTATCCCTGCATTTTATTCAGAACTGAAGGCCATGTCAGAACTGAAACAACTCTAAGAAGCTCATTTTGAATTAGAGTAAACAAACAGATGTAGAGCGTCCATTTGATTCCAATCTTCTAAAGTTTGCATTATTCTATAAAAAAATAAAATGATTATATGCTGTTTCTTTTGTCTTGCTACAGGTTTAGGCTGATTGGCAAGTCTTCCAGAAGCTGTGCATTGTTTGGTAAAACAGTAGCATGGACAGGTGACCTTCCTTATTGCCAGAGTAAGCAGCACTCAAAATGCAGATCTAGCTTAGGATATTTGTAAGAGAAGGCTTAATGAATGCCAGTATTCTAAAACAGAAACTATAGACAGGTAAAATGATGCAAATCATATTGAAGATAATGAAACTTGCATAAAAGAGTACTTCATCCTTGGGCAACATTATATCAAGCTGCAAGCAAATATTAGAGCATATCCCTGAATGCTGATTGAAGTATAATGTTTATCAGAAAATGTATGGACAAACTAATTAGCCCTGTTCCTCAGGTACCTAAACTGAATCAATCAGGCCTGACACTTCTGCAGAGTGATTCCAATGTTTTTTTTTTCCTTATCTGCTTCTGATATACCGTATGTCTCCTTTTCAGTGACACAGTGTCCATCTCCTCAGATTAAGAATGGAAGGATTGCTGCTGGAATTTCCAGCACTTACAAATATAACCAGACGGTTAGCTTTGAATGCATTGGGGGCCACAAGATGGTTGGTTCCAGAGAGATCTATTGCCAAGTGGATGGTAGGTGGGATCCCCCCATACCTGTCTGTGTACAGGGTAAGTTTAAATCTGGATTTTCCTTTTATTTTCAATATTCAGTGCTCTGTTTTATTCTCTTTGACTTAAGCATTATGTGGACTGTATGGTCTTCATTGCAACAACTTGTATCTTAATATTTTCATCTTATTATTCAACGATTGACAAAGTGGCATTAAAAACGTTTATTGAATATGAAGTATGCATTATATTAATTAGAGACAATCTCCTTTCCCCTCCCCTTCCTTCCCCATCCCTCCTCTCCCCTCCCCATCCCTCCCATTCTGCACTCAATTACAGTCATAAGTCAAGGACTATCTTAATGTCATCTCTTTCCATGGATTGATTTAGGCTGTCTGATCTGCAATAAGGAATCTCCAGACCAACATGCCATGTGCATATCTTTTATCCTATTCCCCCTCTTATCCCTGTCCATTAATACTCAGCTAAATCCTATATGGTCTTAGGATGAAGTCTTTTTTTAAAAAAAAAAATCTATATTTACTCTTTGTTCAGTAAATTAGTTCTTAAGAAGGCATTATTTGCACAGGACTTGACAAATTTAACTGTTCCCCTTTCATTTTTAGTTGCAGGCTGTGTGAATCCAGACATTCAGAATGGAAGAATTATTAGGCCCAAAGCAAGTGATCAATCTGTATCAACAATTACTTTTGAATGTGACTCTGGCTACACCATGAAAGGCCAGCATACAATTCGGTGTCAACGTGGTAACACATGGGATTCACCAGCACCTATCTGTGTCAGAGGTATGTTTAATGAAGCTGGATTTTATCAACTCTTCTCACAATTAGAAAAAAAACATGTAGTTTCCCCCACCACACTTTCTTGCTAATTTCTCTGTGAACAATAAAAGCAGAAGCATCCTGTAAGTTTGCAGCCCTTTTTGAAAATTGAAAGGCAATTCCTTCTAGAAGAGCATTTGGTTGTTCCATGAGACAATGTGGGAAGGTTCATCTTGAGGGTTTTCTTATTAAATGACAGCATACAGTGATGAGAACCAAATGCCAATCCCCATTCACCCAGTTTGGAAAGATGATTTGGAGCATTTCACAATCCCTTTTTCAGGAGAACTGTTCAGATGTGAAAGAAATGTAGCCAAAGTAGATTCTTACTGGTAATTTGTTTTTTCCCCTAGTGAAGTAAAATTTATTTTAATTTTTTCAGCTCGTTAATTTGTTCTCCTTTCTTCCAGTAGTGCAATGCCAGCCTCCCCCAGACATTCAAAATGGGATTAACAGCAACCAGGGAACATTATTTCCCAGTGGAATGCTTGTGAAATATACATGCAATCCTGGCTACATTCTGACTGGAGAGGCAACGATTCAGTGTATGGATAATGGCACATGGTCTTCTCCTTCCCCTAACTGTGAAGGTACATTTCTTGAGATAGGCTGTCTTGCCTCATGAAGATGAGAGGTATAGAAACAATTAGTCTTCACAGCTGTTGCTGTTTTTTATTGTCTGGAATGGTTCTGGACATACAGGATCCCTTATATATGGCTGCTTCAAAACTGCTAAAGTACCAGACGGAGGAATATTTAGGCTTACAATCTAGTGGTATATAAAATGATTCAAGGATTCCTTCGGTCAAGGAATCCAAACTACAACTGAAGAAATGAAAAGTCACCTTTAGATTAGACAGAGCTAATTTTCCACCAGTGAATTCCTTTTATATTATACTGCAAGAAGAGGCAGGTAACACTTTAAACTTTATACCCATACGATTTAGTGAAGATCTTACCTCAACTAGCTTGTTAAATGATCTTTTAGTCATAAAATGATGCCAATTACTTTGTAGTCATATTGTTCTTATTACAGAGTTTAGAAATAATGCCCTGCTTGAAGAAACAGAATAAACCAGAAGCATATTTAATTACAACTTTCCACTGAATATCATATCAAAAATAATATTCTAAATGCTGTCCTCTGAGTCCCTTCCCTCCTTACCCTGTTTTAGATTCCGTAGGCCAGCCATGAGAGATGCCATTTTACTTGAGTAATCCTTTGCGTGTGTTCTTGCTTGTTGTAAACGATGTTTTCCTAAGAATATGCACACCTGTGAGATATAGCGATAACTCATTGAAAATCAATACTTTTATATCTTTTCAGAGATTGAATGCAAGTCACCTCCAGATATCCAGAATGGGGTTCACAGCAACCCGGAATTAATGGTATTCAAAAGAGGAATGTGTGTGAAATATACATGCAACTCTGGCTATACAATGATTGGAGATGCTACTATTCATTGCACAGACTCTGGCACATGGACCTTTCCTGCTCCTCACTGCGAAAGTAATTTTTTTATTAATTGCTGCTAGTATAGCATAACACTTCATAGCATAAAGAGTAGCCTTTGGGATTGAATTTGGACATGCGAGATACAGGTTAAAGAATCTACTCAGTCATAAGCCTCACTAACTTACACTAAACAAGATATTGCCAGGGTTTCCTAATTTCACTAAGCCTAAAATGTGGTTTGTTCTGATTTTATATATTAACTCAATAGAGGTGAATTGTAAACTAGGTTCTGTGGCTTAATATTATAGGTGAACCACTCTACTTAACAAAGCACGGCTTAAGACTTATCTAATCTACGGTATTGGGCTCTGCAATAATGAAAAAAAATATGAGAGAAGTGTCACACAAGATGCCCCTAAGAAAAGCGGAGGGATCAACTTGTAGTAAATAGCCTTTAATTGCAACTTTCCACTAAGTATCTCATCAAAACGGAATTCTGAACACTGTTCTCTGACTTCCTTTTTTCTTTTTCTTTTCTTTTAGAATCACAGTGTCCCTTCCCTCCAAGTATAGCCAATGGAAAACATGATGGTTTAGCTTTGCAAAAGTTTACTTCTGAAACATCTGTAACCTATTCTTGTGATCCAGGCTATTTGCTTATTGGAAAGGCATCTATTTTCTGCGGACCTTCAGGAAACTGGAGCCTTCCTTTGCCATCCTGTTCAGGTAATAAAAACTGTAATGTGTGCTATCTGGGCTAACATGGGTTATCATTATTTTACAATGCACATGCCGTTTTCCTTCAATTTATTGTTTTTCAAGCACACATTTGAAACCATTTAGAATTGTGGAAAAAACATTATTTTCTAACTCACCAGGGACTGTTGGAATGCAACTCCCTTGGCCAAATAGCTCTCAAATAAAAATGCACTGTTATCCTCAGACTGTTCCAAATGGTGATCACCATGGGCAGAATTACCAAAGTTTGTTTCTGGAGAATACATGCATCACATATGTCACAACAACTATTTTCTTGGTGGAAAATATTTGAACAGTTATAGCTTCTGGCAGATATAGAATGAAGATACTTACCATTCTTTGATCTTTTGTAGTTATGCATTGTCCCGCACCCCCAAAAGTCATCCATGGGAGGCCTGTTGGTGAAGACTTCACATATGGGAAATCAGTAATCTATATTTGTGATGCCGGCTATTCCTGCATTGGAAACTACAATGTGACATGCATTTGGAACAACTCAAACTCTGTAAAATGGAGTGAAGCCCCCAGATGCCAAGGTCCTCTTTTGGTTGTATTTTTCAGATCAGTAATTCACTCTTCTGTACTGCCTTTCACAGGGATCGGGGTGGCTTACCAGGGATGGGTGCTTGAAGCCAGATGAGTAAGAGTATTATAATTGGACTGTGCATACTGTCATGCTAATGATTTTTATAAGCAGTATTTATTTAAGGACTATGATGGGTGCATCCAAATTGATCTGAATGTCATAATTTGGGTGGAATTTGAGAGGTAAATCAATATTGTAGTAATGCAGTTGCATCACTTCTCTCTAGGTTGCCTTGCACCACCAAATATTGGCCATAGCAAACGAGACAAGACTACTTTGGAAGATTTCCCCTACGGCACCTCTGTGACTTATCATTGTGATCCAGGTTTTTTTCTTATTGGAAGACCAACCATTTACTGCCAGACTTCTGGAACATGGAATCGACCTGTCCCTCAGTGTAAAAGAAGAGAATGTATGTGAGAGCTAGTTGTTAAACTGGTTGTACCACATTAGTGTTAAGTGACATCTGGTGCCAAGGACGTGGGGTGCCTCCTAAGAGCCACACTACCTAGACCTCAGTAACTGAAACTGGCAGCATTTGAGAGAACTACATGGGCCAATGAATCGAGAGCTTTGTCACTGTGTCTCTTGAAAATGCATTGTGATAATATGCAAACAAGACCTGTGTTGTCCCGCTGAACTTTGTTTCTTCCAGAAGAGCAAACTTAGAAGTGGCATTTTATACAAACCTTCTTTTATAAGCTAATGAGCATTTTGTTTTGTTAATCACTTTGGCACTGTGGGTAGTCCTTGACTGAATTCACTGAAAAAAGAGAGTTATAACCATTCCTCGCATTTATGAGTATCACAGAACCCCCAGGGTCATGTGATCAAAATCCAGGCACTTGGCAACCAACCTGTATTTACAATGGTTGCAGTGTCCCAGAGTCATTTGATTGCAATTTGTGAGCTTGCCAGTAGGCTTCCAACAAGCAAAGTCAACAAGGGAAGCCAAATTCACTTAATGGGTGTGTGAGTCCCTTAACAACTGTAGTGACAAAAAAGGTAATAAAATTGGATGTGGCATAATACTGCCTTGCTTAACAATAGAAAATATGATCCATTACTTGTATTTCTTTTGCAGTGCAGAAACCATGCAAATGATTGCTTTTTGGTTTAGGGAAACCAATCACACAATTTGTTACCAAGCCATTAAAAAAAATCATCATGGTTTTGAATGTTGAATTTCTTATTATTTTTTAGATACAGAGGCTACCAAACTCCCAAGTGACTCCCAGGTGACCAAGGATGGGAGCAATCAAATAGAAAAAATAACTGGATCATTCATAAAAAACACAATACATTCAAAAATCAACAAAACAACTACCAAGGACTTAGCAACCACCTTAAACCCAGGTCTTGGAGGAGAGCCAGATATTGAAAGATTTTCAGAACAATTGAATGGTGGGAAACAAACAGACCTCCAGAAAGATACTTTTTCAGAGCTTAGAAATTGCAGTGGAGAAGGTGAGTTTCCTGGTTTCCAGTAGGAAGGCAGGATGAAGAACTGTGTTCTTATTTAATAATTTATTATATATCTATATAACCATATTTATCAATACTTCTTAAGCCCACTCTTTAGTAAGGGATGCTAGTGATTATTTATTGCATTTATATGTTGTCCATCTCACTATCCAAAGTGATGCTGGATGACTTACAATACAATTATAACTCAGCAACAGCTGGAGGACATAGGGTTCCTATCACAAAAGACACCTTTTTTGTATCTGTGATGGCATATTTCTAAATAAGAGATGCTATGAAATATGAAACTATGTATCATTTATATCTAGACAAATTATATATATACCTAATGTGGGAATGGGGTGCATGGAGGGTTATTGGTTATAATCCAAACTAGTAGATTATTATTCTGAATCATATTTGCATTTAAAATATATGGAACAGCAACAATTGCATAATGTTGGACTGAGACATGAGTGATAACTTTAAATGAAAGCTGGCCAACACTATCTTTTGTTCAAATCCTTTTAAATGTAAATCTTCAGAGGTGGGGCTATTAGCCTAAGGATATCATTTATTTTAAGCCCGCACTGTTTTGAATTAAATGACAGAATTCTCATTGCTGGACTTCTGGAACCAAGTCACTGTGAAGACTATAATTAATTCCCTAGAGTTTTTGGATCAGTACAAGGAATAAAAGCATCTGCCAATTTCTGCCATATTTTTTGAGCCTCATAAATATTAACTACCTTATCTCATAGGCCAGGGGTTGCCAACCTTTTGGACTTCAGGGACCACCAAACTCATAATTTTAAATCCCATGGACCAAAGACCCTGGGAAAATCCCCAAAAAAGTCTACAGAAAAATTCCCCACCCCGTTTTCCTACCAATCGATCATTCTTCATTTGGATCACAGGATACCATCTCCAGCTCTGTTCTTGCGGGGAGAGAGAGACTTTTGGCTTCATGCAAGGAAAGCAGCAGAAGCAGCAGAAGTCTTTCTTTCTCTCCTCGAAACTCCACCAGAAATTAGTCTTTGCCGGCACAGCCTCTTGGAGCAGGATGCCTTGCAGGGTCCCAAAGATTCATTTCTGGCGGAGTTTGGGGGAGAGAAAGAAAGGCTTTTGCTTCTTTCCTTGTGTGCAGCCAAAAGCAGAAGTGGAAAGCAGCAGCCTGGTGGCCAGGCGAGGCGTGTGGGGCAAGTTGCCCTCCTCTGCCCTTTTCCCCCTTCCCTCATTACAAGCCGCGGGCTAAGTGGGCAGCATAGCCTTGTGTTCCCACGCAGCCTGGATTAATGCTTTGGGGGTGTTTTGGAGGTGCTATTTCTCTGTGGACCACCAAAATTTTCTCACGGACCCCCATTGGTCCCCAGCCCACTGGTTGGCAACCACTGTTATAGGCCACAGGCTATTATTGATTAAATATAACATACCTGAATGTATATCTTAAATCAATTATTTTTTAGATGTATTGAATTTTTAAATGCAATTTGTAAATAACCCAGAATGAGGCCCCAAATGTATCATATTAATAACGATGAATGTGATATAAGTTAGAATCCAGGTCTTGCTTTAAAAATACAAAGTTGAAAACTGCAGCCCCTAATAAAGTACCTTGTACAAACAGTTGTTTTCTGCCCAGGGTGTTCCTTTAAAACTGTGATGGCCAGGCTGCAGGTATGTCATTGATCTACTCAGTTTTTCTGCTCCCAAAAATCTATTAGCATTGGTGGCAACAATCTCATTTAGGTGGAGGCAGGGGATTGTTACTGAGGGTAAAAGTGTGGATAAAAATTAAGATGAAAATAAATTAACTTTCCTATTTTCTATTATCCTTATTTAAACTTCTCCAATAAAAATGATTTTGCTCTACCTCTTTGTTTGATTTAGCTGCATCTCTGGCAACCTCCCTACAACTCTCAAGTTGTAAAGGCAAGTGTGGCTCCTTGGTGCAAAAAGAGTGTCTAAGAACTTTTATTCAACTTTGATTTTCAGTAGACGGCTGTCCTCTCCCACCACTTTCTGGTAGCACCAAAGCAGAAACAAAAACCATGATTCAGACTGGTGCTAATGTGACACTGGAGTGTGAAAATGGCTATGTCAGGAATGATTCCTTTCCTGTTCAAGCGCAGCAGATAGGATGGGATGCCCCTGTGCCAGCATGCATACTGAGTAAACAAAGTAAGTTGGAAATAAGGCTCTAAAGATTTGAGAGAGAATTTAAATTTATATTGTTTGGAGAGCCTCTCAAAAATATTTTCAAGAACTGGTAAATGTAATTTCCCCTTTCTCTGATAGTTTGTAACTCTTGTTTTGCTTCTTTCTTTAGGCTCTTACAATTTTGCTACAATAGGTTTTGGTAAGTAATTTCTAGAACTTCCCGTTGAGTGCAAAAAGGTACAGCATTGTGGACTTTACATTCTATAAACACTGGATAAGATAGGCCAGTATAGCTACTAGTGAAATGTCTGCCCTGTTCTTTACTTGTCTTTGTCGGATGAGCACATATAATACAGAGCAATCATATTTTAGTGAAAAGAAGGCAAGAAAGGAAAAGGTATTGCTCTGCATATAATAGCAAAGTTGTGGAAGCAACTTGACATAAGAAAAAAGGGGAAAAAAGAAAAGGAACACTTCATTGTGATCCTAAATATACTGCTCAAAAAAATAAAGGGAACACTTAAACAACACAATGTAACTCCAAGTCAA